TTACCGCCACGTACCACTATCACCGTCGTCACCACCACCACCATTCCCGCAACTACCACCTTCCAGCTCTACCACATACACCACTACCGCCTTCCACCATTGCCACTATTGTTGCACCATCCAACATGGCTGCCATTTCTTTTAAAAATTATAGAATAATCTTATTTGTTAACTTAATTTATTTGTCATTGAGAGGGGAATTTTGAAGAATTCAAATTAAAATTTAATCCATTCTAGGCTTTAAATTGGCCCAACCAAACACTAAAATAGTTATTATCATTCAATTTCTATATCATTTCACATTTGTAAACAAACAATAGAATAAGAATAATAATTCCACTCCATTCCCACTTACATTCTTTCTCATTCCTACATATGAAAATTAACAAAAGTTTTGTTTAGTATTTGAGATATATGAATGCAAAATATAAAATATAAGTAACGTACACTAAATTTCTCAATCAAACAGCTAAAGGACTCATAACTCACAATAAATTTCTCAATGAGGCGGTGAACCCTTTTCATAAGAGAATTCTCTTCACATAATTTTTGTCATGGAAATAGAGAATTTTCAACTTATAATCATTCTTGTGTTTCTTTATCTAAATAGCAAAGCTTCGATTATAATGACTGCATCGACTGGTTACAGAAAGTATATATATAGCCGTGGAGCATTATTTTAATTTCTCTCATTTTTTTAACGGTTTGTGCAAATTAATTTGGTGATGTTTATCAATGCAATAGTAAGAGTTAGTAATAATAAGCTAACATATTTGGTAAGAGTAAGGTTTTATTTTTATTTTTTTTGTAAGACATTTAATTTTTTGTAAAAGAATTTCATTATCAAAACTTGGCAATTAAGATATAGTTTTTGGTGTATTTTGGGTCTCGATCTTCGAAGCTGAACGGCGAGTGCCTTGATATTGTAAAATTGGATGAAGACTTCATTAATTTAGTACATATATCTGAGTGAGGACACTGTGCATTTAAACTTTTGCAAGTTAAGGACTTAAATTATGTATGTTTTTTTGAAAATTTCATATTCTGAAAAGTCTCCCTGGTCACACTCTTTGTGACCAGTACAATTACTCCCAGTCAGGATCGAAATTCTACGAAATCCCACCGGTCATACTTTTAAGGAACTGGTCAGATCTGTCATTCCTGCAATTGGATTTCATGTTTTAATTTTTTTTTTTGAATCTTTTTTGCACTGGACTTCATGAGATGTCCTATAATGTTTTAAAAATACTTTTCTAACTATTTTGAAGACTCATATAGGTATTGTTAGATTATACCTATTATACCCCTTAACTACTACTTTGAGTTTCTTGTTCACTATATTATTCCATTTTATAATACTTATGGGCCAATCCAATTGCCTTGTATATGTTTCGCCTATAAATAGGCCCCTTATGTACGTACTACAGTTTTCATCACTGTAATTCAATATATAACTTCATAGCTGCTAACATGGAATCAAAGACCGTCAATCACGAGATATAGACTTCTAAGTCCATCATTATCGCCGTTGGGGATGGCACAATCAATCCCATCTCCGACAGCGGCCAACTGTCAAAATTTTGCAAATAAAATCATATCATCCATGTTTCCTTCCACTGAAAAACATCACTCCACGACTACTTTCATCAATGTGTCATATCTTAATAAACAGATCTACCACCATGTGCCTCCATGCGGTTCATCATGCCAGATTTTCACAAATCTGCTAATAACACACTTCCGCACACCTCAACATGCCGAATTTTTGTATACCTACCTCCATGCTCTTCCATACGCCTAAACGTGTCATATCTTCACAAATACGCCACCGACGTGTCGGGCCACTACACTTCAATGCGCCTCCAATGGTCTTCACGTCAACTATGCTTCTATACGTCTCCAGTGGTCTTAATACTTCATCATTGCCTGATGATCTTATCTCCAAACTCATGCTAGCTTCATACATATTACCCACCTCAAGTTTGAGGAGGACTGTTAGCTTATACCTGTTATACCTCTTACCTACCACTTAAGGTTTCTTGTTCACTACACTGTTACCTTTTATAGCACTCACCATCCCAGCTGCTTTGTATAGTTTTTGCTTATAATTAAATAGGCCCCTTATGTATTGCAATTTTCATCAATTTAATACAATATACAGTTCCATATCTTTTAATAGGTATTTAAACACCTCTAATCTCTAGCCCTAGTAAGACTTATGGTGGAGATTACAAAGAATATTTTTACACCATTGTTTTTTATGTTCATTTTTTTTAACTCACCAATTTCAGTTGGCTATTATTGTTGTGGCAAAGAATAATGGACTAATCGATTTCCACTTTTTTCATATTTGTTGCTAATGTGGTGTTTATAGTGAAGTCTCATGTAAACATTGTGATATGCTTCATAAGAAACAAATTGTCAAAGTTATTGAGGGACTTAACAAAGGCGAACTCTCAAGTGGGCAAGGCCTAAATCAAATTACTTTTGTTGTACGTGCAAGAGACACCCGTTAGGCTCACATTATGGTACTTTAATTAGCTTGATTATAATGTTTTAATCTGTAATTAGTATCCTTGAGATTATCGAAAATAATTAATTGAAATCTAATCAAAGAAATTGTGGTAACCTATATGAGTGGGTACAAGACACTGGGCGAGCTAAAAGTTACACAATTCCACATTGCCTCGATAAGGTGAAGGTGAAGTGTTTATTTGTGCTAGTGCTATCTTGAAATGGTATGAGGTATTTTGAGATAAAATCCAATAATAAAATTGTGTGGGCTTAGGCCCAAAGTGGACAACATCATACCATGTGGTGGAGTGGACTATTACAAATGGTATCAAAGCCAAAGCCTAGTTAAGAGTGTAGCCAACCACGATGTTGGGCCTTAAGGGGGAATAATTATCGTGACCTAACGGAGAATAGCATACCGTATAGTGGAATGGGCTATTACAAGTGAAACTATTATTCTACTTGAGTCAATACTATCTTTTAATTTTATGTTCAGTCTTCATTTTATGAAGACATTGCTAGGAATGACTAATGAATTTTTAAAAGCAGTACAAAGAAAAGATCAAGCTATGGTGAATGCCATGGTGCTTGTTGAAGTATGTAAGACTACAAATGATGAGGCAGGATGAATCGAATTCTTTACTTGAAGTTCCTGCATATTGTGAAAGACATGAGATTAATGTTCCTAATATGGATATTATGTTCTGTGCTCAAGGACGACCACTACGAAATGTGCAAGGAATAGCAAACTTGCATTACTATCGTGTTGAGTTGTTTTATTTTGTAATAGATATGCAACTTCAAATGCTAAATAGTCGTTTCAATGAGGCCAATATTGAGTTACTTCTTTGTGCGGCATGTCTATGTCCAAAAGATGATTTCTTTGCTTTTGTAAAGCTAAAGATCACTCGCTTTGCTAAATATTGTCCAAAAGAATTTTGTGCAACCAACCTCATAGAACTTGGTAGTTAACTTGAGACTTATATTCTTGATGTGTGCTCTAATAATATTTTTGAAGGATTGAATGGGATTTATACTCTTGCAAAAAAAAAAATGTTGAGACCAAAAAAAAAAAAAAAAAAAAAAAAGGGAGAAAAATACAAGGTATATCCCTTGTTTTGCTTACTTGTGAATTTGGTGTTGATCTTACCAATCGTGACTGCTAGGGATGGCAACGGGGCGGTTTGGGGAGGGGAACGCTATCCTCATCCCTATCCCCGTTTAGCATAGCTACTCCCATCCCCATCCAAAACGTTTATTAAACAAGGTAAGGTTAGGCGGGGCAGGGACATGTTTTGTATAAAGTAATTTCATAATTGTATTATGGTTCTAAGTGAAATAAATAATGAGACAAATTTTTAACAACAATAATAGGTTTTATTTTTTCTCTTATGCTGATAAAAGTAATATTCAACTTCTTAATTAGAACTCGAGACTTAATTTTATTGTAGAATTATCAAAATAATACATATAAATTCTCAAATAATAATAATGCAAAAAGATGTTAGTGATTGGAATAAAGTAAACTAGGATTTGCTTAATATAAACCTAATATTATTGAATATAAAGTAAAGTATAAGGACAAAATTTATAATTTATCACTATAAACGAAACGGGGCGAGGCGGGGTGACCCTTCCCTATCCCTACCCCATAACCATGTTGATTTTCAATCCTAACCCGCATCTCCGCCCTAAAACTATTTAACCACTCTCATAACTGTTCTAAACGGGGCGCGGTGGGGTAGGTATTTTGCTATCCCTAGTGACTGATATGGTGGAGAGGGCATTTTTTATTATGAATATTGTCATGAGCAAATTGCTTAATCGAATGGAAGATCAATTTATGAATGATAGTTTGGTTGTATATATTCAAAAAATATATACTTAGGGGCATAGATAATGAGGATATCACGCAACACTTTTCAAAAGATAAAAAATCGTCAAGAACAATTGTAATTTTATTTTATAAAATATTATCAATCAATATTTTAGTTTTTATATTTGTTAAGTATTTTAGTTTGGTTATTTTTATTTAAACATGATATCAACTTGTTTTGTTTTAAAGTTGAACAAATAATTTTATTTTATTTAAATTTTTAATTCACATTGCTAAGGAATATCCTGTTTCCATTTTAATTTAAGATAAAAATAATTAAATAAAATCTTGTTTGCTTTAGATGTCAGATTCATTCAGCACATGGAAAGTGAGTATGATTGCAATGATTGCTTCGGAATGACATATATTTCATTAGCATGTCTAGGTAATTTTTTGTTCTACTTTAACTGAATATAGATATTGAATTACATTATGAATACTGTGTGTATATTATATGTATATATATATATATTTATTTATATATTTGGAAGGTCAGCTTATTATATAAATGTAGAAGACTGTACGGACCCAATTTATGGACCAAAGAAAAAACATAGGACCCAAAGCCCATTACAAAAGAAGCCTAAGGTAAGCCCAAGATGTAAGTGTCATTACAGACTAACCACTGTTTGCAGTTGGAATCAATTTCCGTTCAACTCTGCGTTTAGCAATGGACGAACAATGACTCCTATACTGCTTGAGAAAATTGTAATTGTGCTGTGATTTTTTTATTTTTTATTTATTAGAAAAATCTATTTTTGTCTGTGTTGATTTTTTTTTTGTGAAATAAAATCATGACTCCACCCTAAATTTGATCCCCATGCTCAGAGGCTCCCCTATGTTTACCGGATATGGATATAATGGAAATTCAATTGCTATAACGAACTTAATCTAATGCGATTGGGTTCTAGCCTTTTCACGCCCAGTGTTTTATAAATAATACTTACAAAAAAGCATACATAAATACAAGTGTACATGCATGGCTTATATATAGGTAAAACTGCACATAATAAAACATAGAAATATATATATATATATATATATATATGTGTGTGTGTGTGTGTGTGTGTGTTATATAGTAGACAAGAAGCTAGAAAGGTACACTTTAATTTGCCTAAATATAACCACCCTAATGGTTCCACCACCAAATTTTTAGGCATTGATTTTACCGGCATCAAGAGAAAGGAGCTTATGATCACGCTCAAGCAAGATCATGTCATCTTCAAGCAGATTAATCCATGCTTCTATTCCCTCCCCACAACTAGTACCCATCAAGATTGTCACATTCTTAAAAGGAAAGTTTGTGGTGCCCACCCAAACTGGCTTACCCCAACCATAGTCCACTTCATATACAGGAAATCTCCACCAACTGCTAAAATTACAGAACTCCACCTCTCTCTTAGAGAAAATTTCTATCATTACCTTGAGATAATCCAAGCACCCATCTCCAATTTGCAGGTCCTTCACATAATCACTATCGATTTTCCTTATCGCGCTGCTCAACTTGTTCAAGAGATCACCAAATTCTGTCCCGTGACCTTCAGACATTGATAATGCATGTGTGAATCTGCATATGTTCCCCAAGGCGTGGTCCGGGAGTGGTGGACTCATTCTGCTTCTCAAGTTCACCGCGTGGGTTGCAACAAATATCTTCTTTGGAGATAACTTACTTTTCGCCACATTTATCAAATGGCTCCAAATGAGAGCTGAGACAGCCTCGACACGAGTGGGATCCTTCACCCGTGATCCGATGGTTGAGGAGGCGGACTCTTTGAGTGTAGCCAACTTCATTTTGTCGAACACAAACCTTTTTGTCACTATCTTTTCTTTTGTAATGCCTGTGGTTGGCATAAACCCTAATAAGTCTCTAGGTGGGAAATGAAAGGCCAACTCAAAACTAGGGTTTATTACATTTTCGATAGCCCCACGAGCTGTGGCAGCCCATGCGTTGGTGAATGTGACTAGAGAGGATACATCGGCTATTGTGTGTGAAATACACAAGCCGATCGCCAATCCTCCACAATCAAACGAGTTGATTTGGATGGCTAGTAGTGCTTCTTCTCCCATAGCAGCGCTGGTGCCAAAAGGTCCAATTGGGAGGTATTGTTTTAGCTCTTCAACATTAGGGTTTTCGACAACATGTGAGAGTTGAGCATGAGCTTGGGCTTCAACATACTCAACTCCAGCATCATTGCAATCGATAAAAATATCATCTTTTATCCTTCCGGCTAAAGGGTAAAAACGAGTTAGGGTATCCGATAAAGATTGTTTCAGTGATTGAGATTTTTGGGCACGAACAATATTGTTTCCCAATTCGGGTTTGTAGAAGAAAATGAGAGGAATATAAACTGGTGGTGCAATTTGGTCTAGGAATGAAAGCTTGAGGTTCCTAAGGTGGTGGGGTGTTGGAGATGATGGTTTAACCATCTCTCTGGAGATCACCTCAACATGACTCACCACCATGTTGCCTTTTAGCTACCTCTAATAAACACACATTTAGAAAGTTGATGTTTGTTCTAAACATGCAAACTCCAAAGGAGAGGACAGCCTCCTTATATAGTGTAAGTATATTATGTATATGGAGGATATGAAGAAGCTAGGTTATGATCAAACGCATATGACTGTACCAACTCTATGGACCCACAGTCAATTTAAAAGGTTAATCAATCACATGCCCGTGAAGACTGGCCTCAAAGATTCACCGTTATTTGCTACAATGATGAATAGAAATTTTATATATATACAACAAAAAGTTGGGATTCATTCCTAGTCCATAGTGCTCATCCTTTTTTATTAGCTACCATTGCATACATTCTCAATACGTACATAACCTTTTTTTTTTTGTTTAAAATTTAAGGGTTATATAGATTTCATCAATATCACTTTGGACAGAAGAGAAAGAAAATTGTCCCCATGTCTTCTTTATGGTTAAAGTGTAGGTTCTGAGGTTTTTTTGTGGAGTGAGAATATCAATCCCTATTTTAAATTTTTTTTTTCTTTTTTACAAAATGAAAAGGTGATTAATGTACATATTAATGTGTAAATAGGGAAATGGCTTTACACGGTTTTCACATTGCGCTAGCTAGGCACGCTTTACAAACGTGTGTTCAGTCGTTATCAACACACTTGATAGTTACTTGCCAATTATATAACAGCATTGTGTAGTAATAAAAAAGTAAAGAACTATATATATATATATATATATATATATATATATTTAGGTCAAAATTTCATCATTTGAAAGAGGATAGTGGAGTTAAATTAATTTTATATCAAAATATATTTACATTATCAAATGTTTTTTTTTTTTTTTGTAATACTTTGTTCAAATTTAACTGTCACGTTCATAAGAAATATTTTGAAGCATTTTTATCTAATTTTTATTTTTTTAATAAAACAGCTTTAACATGTGCAACATGATAATGATGGTGTGGCACCGTATATTAATGCAGTCACTTTTTAAAATTATCAATTTGTTCTTTTTAATTTAAATATGTATAATTATTAAGTTTTAAAAAAATTTAAATATAAAAGGTAATGATAGAAAAATAAGATTTATTTGCTTTAACTTTTGTAAAGGATAACTAATTTAGGACATTCAAAAAACAAAGCAATGAATTACAAATATATGCCATTTATATATTGCAACTTGCGAGCCAATTGCATCTTACCTTGCTACAGTTTCTTTTCTTCTCTCTTTTATATGGTGCGGCACCTTTAAATGAGTCTGAATTTTCGGATGCCGTATAACACCAACTTCGAATAACTTAAAAAGTGCCATAAAACTTTTATCAAAAGTTGTCATTACAATTTATTCAACGACAAAATGAGATCAAATCCTAGCACCACAAGCTTTGTGGATTTGGTTCATCTTCACTACCACTCATTTCAAGCTAGTTTATCACATAGTGCTTTATCATCATTATATATAACAATCATGTACAACATTTATTGGTGCGTTCCACTATCACCAAGCCAACCAACATGTTTATAAGCACGAGAACAGTGCTTCCCAGCTCCAACCAAAACTCACTCATTTCAAGTCTTTCTTTTTGTCAGAAAAATAATAATAAATAAATAAATAAATCCACCACTTAGAGTTGGTGGGACTCACTAGCATGTGAATGATTCGATTTGAGCGCAACTGGCCCTGTAGTATCTAAGCATAAATCACTCTTGTCAAATGAATAGGTTATTAAGAGGTAACTTGTTGAATTAGTGTGCTTGTGTTGGATTTTTTTTTTCCTTAATTTGTTAGAAAAAAATAAAAATTAAATTAAATTATGATTTTTATTTAATATTTAAAAGAGTAAATTATAATGACATGCTTTAGGTTTATCTTATTAATAAATACATACAAGTTAGTCATTTTTTTAACAATGACATTCCTGTTCATTTCTTAAACATAAAAATATTATGAAATGTCTCAATTGTCCTCATCTTTTTAAAGTTTTTGATTAAAAGTAACTAAAATACCCTTATGCTCCTATTGATTAAGGGGAAAGGAATTGTCATATCTAATTCTAGGGTGGTGATATAATATATGCTTGGCCGCTAATGAATACTTTGACAAAAATATTCAAAGTAAATCATTGAATTTACATTGCACACATACATATATTCAAAGCAGTGAGAGAGACACTGGTGGTAGATCTGCTTAAAACAAAGCAAAGGTATTTTTTTGTCTTTGATTTTTTTTTATTATTATTATTATTAGTGGGAATGAATGGGAATGGAATGGTCATTTCACGTCTCAAAAAGAGAAATGGGCATTCTGCCTTTTTGATGAAATGGGCATTCCCTGAAAATGCTTTGGAATGCTCATTCCACTTTTAATGTGACACACCAAACAAGATAATAAAAACAAAAGCATTTCATTCCGGTTTCATTTGATTCCATTCACTCACGCGAAACATAACCAAAGGGTCTAATGTATTTCTCCTTCTAGAATATAATGCTTAGCATTAGATGATATGAAACTATGCCACCACCTCTTTTTATATAGAAGTATTAGTCCCAAATAATTGCATATCCTTTTCCAACACAAATTCAACTTTCGATCTACGCTTGCATTCTAAGTTGTACTAGGAGTGGATTTGATAAGTTTATCGTTATCCAAGACTTCAATAGAATATTCTAATAGCGTGCTAACTCCTTAGCCTATTAGAATGCCTTCTATTAATTATTTCTTATTCCACTAAAAAGAAATAAATGTGGATACGAATAATTATTGTTAATTACAATCTAGCCCCAACAACCTAATACCATAAATCGACGACTCCATGATAATTAGTTATTGGATAAATATTATTATCAATTCAATGCACTAATTAATTCATATTTGGTCACCTAAACTTATCCGTTTGATTACATATATTTAATGAATTAATATTAAATATAAGTGGCTAATTTACATAATCTAATCAACCTAACCATAATTTACATAAATCAAATCAACCTAACCAAAATACTTTCCCACGAAGATTCCATTTTGATAAAAATATGTTCCGCAACTAATATATTAATGGAAAAACTACATATAAGTATAGCTGGGAATCCTAAATAACAAAATAGTCTATTTTAAAAGTTTAGTTTTCAATTTGATTGAATCAAATAAAATAATTTAAAATGTATCAAGAATTATTATTAAGTCCCAAAATATCCTCCAAGCCCTTATTGTAAAATACTAAAATAACCTTTTTATAATCATATAATTCCAAAATACTAAAAAAAAATATAGGAAACTATGTAAACCTTGCTCAATATTAATACCTGATATTATGGTGCTAAATTTATGTCCAAATAAGGAATTATTTACTGACATATTAGGTGTTAATTACGATCAAAAGTTTGACCCTTTTTTTTTTGTCATTGACAAGAAACTCACACACACCTCACTTTACTCCTTTGAAGACTCGAACCTTACCATCTACTTTGGAAGGTAGAGGAGATATCACTGGCCTTGGATATACTTGAAAAAATATCCGCAATAGTTGTAGCAAATTTGGATGAATTCTCTAATCTATTTAGACAAATGACATCCATCTACAAAAGTTTACATCTTTTTTAATAAACAAAAACTTTTCTGTTCTAAGTTGGAATATAAATCTTAAATATATATATATATATATATATATATATATATATATATATATATAATGAGATTATGTGAGCAACCTTCTAGATGTCTTTTCGTGGAAGACAAATCATGGATTTTATCTCCTCCATAAAAGTAAAAGATGAGCTATCATTATTTTTTGAACAAAAATCTTAACATGGTAAGGGATTTGCATCACATATGGTTTGAATTAAATGATAATCAAACTAGTCTCCAATTATCTATTTTAATATTATAAAATTGTATAATTTTAAAAAGGATATTTTGGTATTTTGGAATAAGAGCTTAGAGGGCATTTTGGACATTAACAATAGTTTTTGATGCATTTGTAATTATTTTTCTTAATTCAATGAAAAATCAACTTTTAAATAGATTAATTTGTTATTTAGGACTCTAACTTTATTAATGTGTAGTTTTTCCTATATCAATTACTTACCCAAAGTACTTACGTTGTCCAACCCAAAGGTCACTCTAAGTATATCAAAGTAAATAATTAATACATACCCAGCCAGTATAGTTCTTCACGATTAAGAGTCAACTTACATTAACAAATAAGGAAAAATACTCATAATGGTATAAGTAATTTTCTACTTATGGTCAATCCGGCGATGACAAACGTGCCTACACATTTGATTCTAGATCACCCCAGTTAGATAACTGAGATAAGTCACTTCACTTAGTATTTTTACCGTATTAGAATATGCCCAATTCTATTCTTTAGAGTGCAAATATTAATAATTACGAATACCAATGAATTCATTTCACTCATACGCATACCTCACATAAATTTATCGTATCGTGGACAACGGAAATCAAAACCCCTTGATCTATCCAATGCAGTATTATTAATATTATATCAATTATATGGAGATAAATAAATCATAATTTATAATTAATAACTGTCTAGATTTGAAAGATATATGACATGCACCAAATTAAGAGTAAGAGTGTTACACATGAGCCTATTTGCACTATAGCGATATTATAGGTTTGTTTGCACTTTAACAGGAATCTACATACATATTTAACACCAATTATTCTATTTATATATTGGGTTAAACAAATTGAAATACTATTTCGATTAAAATTTTCATTTTACATTCAATTGAAATTTGTATATATTGATTTTTTATTGATAAATTGTGATATTCACCTGTTCTTCATCATACGTACTGGATATGGTTCGTGAATTTTGAAGTAATTACTTAGAACAGCCCCGTTTGAACAATATTTCCATAAACGACCGTAAAAATTATAATCTATCCAGTTCAATTTTGTCTTCTTCCAACCTATTGTGGGTTGGTTACAAGATTGTTCTTTGATCATCCATAAAACAACCTCATGTGTAACTTAGTAAAGAAAACAACCTCACCTACAACCTAGTGAAGATTTGTTGTTACAAATGAGATTCCTCCTAC